AGCAGCGATTTTATTTCGAAAGGAAGAAAGTGACTTGCTTTCCCTAATTTCTTTTGGTATAGAATTCCAAATGTTTGCTCCGTCGTACATAAAACTATTTTTCATGCTATTTGTACGTGGTTTTGGTAAATAAAGACCACTTGAGAAAAGAGCTCGACAACTGGACTCTGTAGCTCAGTTGGTTAGAGCACTGCACCGGAATCGTAGGTTCGATTCCTGACAGAGGGCCTGTATTTGCATTTTTTGCAACTTCTCCTGGTTAGGTCCAGAAAATTGTATATAATCTTCTGTTCGGAATTTGCATCTACAAAAATCTTTCAACTAAGGGCATTCTATACTGATTTGTTACAGGTTACTGAAGATCCAGAATCTTGTGAAGACAGTTGAAAATGTTTTAAATCTCTTGGATCTCACACGAAACCTTGAAGATGATGATGTGGAAGAACTAGGTATCAACGTTGGTCTTATCAATAGTCTTGCTTTTGAAAGAAGATTGGTTTCTGTTTGGTTAGCACTTTGTAGACCCTTAGGTTTAGTTGTTACCTTTCAGAATTTAGCAAAAGTTTATCTTGCTTTATGCGTGATTGGCGCATTGTATAATTTATGCATGACACACTTACACACGCAGCAGACTTGTAGCAATGCTGTTCTAACAAATTTGTAAACAGGATGTGTTCGCACTGCTTGTTCCCGGCTTGTTGACAACTTGCTTCAAGGTTGTTGAGCTCAACAGACTTGTTACAAGTTGTTCCAGAAGCTTGTTATCGTCCTGCAGTTCAACAATTTGTCAACAAGTTGTGAGTGACAACCTTGTAGCAACTTGATAAAATGACAGTATTGTTACAACTTAATTGTTTTTGTTTGTGGAAACACCACGTAAATTCGTGTTTAAATTTGTGTTTCCACAAACAAAAACAATTATATTTTATCGCCATGCAAACATTCAAAGAAATTGTTACAACTTGTTGACAAGCTTGCTACAAACCTGTTGCGAACACATCTTGCTGGCAAGTTGTGAGATTTTCACGTGTGAAATTCGCTGGCGGAGGTACACACGAAAAAACCCACAAGTTGTTACGGGTCTGCAAACAAGTTGTTACAAATCTGTTCACAAGTTGTCGACAAGTTGAGTTCGCACTGCTTGTTCCCAGTTGTTGTAACAAGCCGTTAACAACTTGTAACAAGCTTGATGGCATTATCAGACTTGTTGCAAGGTTGCTCTAACAAGTCTGATACAATCATGATATAACAAGAATGTTACAAGGCTGATAATATCAACAAGGTTGTTACAAGGTGTTAAACAGCTTGTTCCAAACCTATTGACAACTTGGGACAAGCAGCGCGAATACAACTTGTTGACGGCTTGTTTGCAGACTTGCTACAAGATGTGGGATTTTTATGCGTGTAGTTAGTTAACGTTACTTTTGTGTTCAGGTGGGGATATGCGGACACAACATCTCAATTTAAGACGACTGTTTGCCAGTGACCTGTCGGTTCGTATCCTTGCCAGTGCGTTGGAACAACAATGTGAGACAAGGATGTCTTTCTGTAGAGATCTTTTGATATTGATGCATATTATCAGCAGGCTGAGCGCTAGGGTGAGTATATGGCCAGGGGTGGAAAAAATAGCAAATGTTAAACAGCTGCAGGAAATTCCTTTGAATGAAGATTTGCTTTTGAAAATTTGAAGGAAACCTTAACACCCATGTCCTACTATGGGCGCAACAACATATGGTTTACAGACATTATTCCTTCAATTTAAAACCATGGTCAGCTAGAACACTATATACGTTTATGCACATGCAGACTTAGCACAAAAATACTCCGTTGGTCTGCAGGAAATTTTTATCTTCAGTTTGTGCTCCCAGGAAGAAAATTCATTTTTCCTGCCCTGTATATGGCATCAGAATTCAAAGCGAAACTCGCCATAACCCTCGTTTTGAAGTATTTGTATCTGTTTATAGGCAGGTCTGCATTCTTTGGGAAGTTATACAACATCTTCAGAACACGTGCCTCGTGCTTCGTACTTATTGCGTGTATACTACAGTTTACAGTGGCTTTCAACACGGTCTGTTTTGCCAACACCACCTAACGCATTGTAAGTTAAAACTCGATTGTACGAATATTACACGCGTAAAAATCTTACATCTTGTACACGCGTAAAAACACACAGCTTGTAACAAGTCTGCAAACAAGTTGTTACAAGTCTGTTCGCAAGCTGTCAACAAGTTGTCTTTGCACTGGTTGTTCCCAGTTGTTGCAACAAGTTTGGAACAAGCTGTTGACAACTTGTAACAAGGTTGATGGCATTATCAGACTTGTTACAAAGTTGTTCTAACAAGTTTGATACAGTCATGATATCACAAGGTTGTAACAATTTGTCAGAACAACCTTGTAACAAGCATGATAATTTCGGCCGGGTCGTTACAAGTTGTCAACAAGTTGTTCCAAAACTGTTGACAAACTTGTTACAAGATGTGAGATTGTTGCGTGTGTATGTGTTCGCACTGCTTGTCTCAAGTTGTCAACAAGTTTGGACCAAGCTGTTAGCAACTTGTAATAACCTTGTTGATGTTATCAGACTTATTATACAGACTTATTGCAAAGTTGTTCCGACAAGTATGCTACAGTCTTGATATAACAATATTGTTACAACCTTGTGTCGTCAACCTCGTAACATTCTTGTAATATCATGACTGTAACAAACTTGTCAGAACAACCTTGTAACAAGTCTGATAATGCCATCAAGCTTGTTACAAGTTGTTAACAGCTTGTTCCAAACTCGTTACAACAACTGGGAACAAGCAGTGCGAACACAACTTGT